ATGAAAAGACGATCAGCTATACACTTGAGTTTCAATTCGGTGCCAAATCAAGTCCTAATTTATTGGCTCATTTATGTGATGATCAACATTTTACATCAAACAATTGGATAACCCAAGGACGTAAGTTAATTAAGAAATGAAATAAATTGATTTCATTTTAAATTTGATTCTAAATTTGAACAATTTCTTGTTTTCCAGGTAAAATCGTTACAATTCAAACTCCTTGTCCAATTACCGGTGATTATACAGGAATCGTTCCCAATGTAACTGGATTATGTGCAAAAGTATCATCTGATTGTAATAATCCTGATATAATGTATCATTCAGTTTCCAGTTGTGAAAATGCATCTCATGTTTTTGAAGGTAAATACTATTTTCATGAGAAAATAATTGAACTTTTTTGACCCAAAAAAAGGAAACATTTTATTCAGTTTTTTCTTGAATAAAGTTTCTATTAATTGAATGATAAATTGTAAAGTATTTGAAATTAATGACAAAATTGTTTGGTTGGTTGAATAAGACACACAAATTGGTGTAATTGTAGAGTTAACTGTCAATTGCTATTATTATATTCATATTCATCTAGATCATTATTTTTCGTTTGATTTTAATTCACTTTTTATCACCATCACCATCATCAGAACCATCATCAGCAACATCATCATAATCATTGTAATCATCTTCATCTTAACCATAATTTTCATGATAATTCTCATCTTTTTCATTTCAACATTTCATTGAAACTGACCAAACCCAATCTCATTGTGAGTCTTTCATTTGTAAAAGTTAATTGAGTTAACTATATTTAAGGACACAATCAAATAGCGATATCAATCTGAGTTGAGTTGAGTTCATTTTAATTGTATTCAATGGTTCGTTGAATTTAAAATCTGATTAATTTTTGCATTAATTCACTTTAACCACAGTTCCTTAATCAACAAACCAACTCAACCATTTTGGTCAAACTTTTTCATGTAGATTCGTTTTAATGAAAATCACCTTTTTAATAACAATTATCTTTAATCAATTACAGAGCGTGAATATCGTTGTTTAGGGAACTGGGAAGAAGACGGAATCCTTTATACATTCACTCAACGCAGAGACGCAACTGGATATCAATGCTTTGTAAGTATCATCAACTGATTATTGTTAAATTATTAGTTGATTGGAAATCAATTGAAATATAAAACTCTTACAATCACATGATATTAACTCTTGCAATTTATGATCACATTTAGGCTGGTAAAATCTTGGGCAATGGTGAAGTTGCTTACATCAGAGAAGCTGGTGAAAATTGTATTCGAGCTGAACATCCATTAACTGTTGGAATGAAAATCACAAAGCAAGGTAATTACTAATTAGATTGATAATCAAATAAAATAAACATTTGCAAGTGAACGGTTCACTTATTTCAAGTTCAATGAAATGGCGGAAATGATGAGCTTCATTCAAGTAAATTGTTAATGTTAATCATTTTCAATTGTAAATGAAAATTTTAAATGAATCCAATTTTAAACTAGAAATGACTTGTCCAGTTAACTTATAAACACTCATCATCCTGCCACTCGATCAATATAAAAGTCACATTTGATTATCCATTAATTCATCTTAATTTCTTCATTGTATTCAACAATTATCTTTACTTTTCATTATTAGTGGCTTGTCAACGGATCATTACAACGACAAAAGCTCCTTGGCCTTTAAGGACTGATAGGATATACCAAGTGCACAAAGCTCAGCCATCATTTCAACCAGCACTAAGAACTGTTTCGACTAAACCGATAGCTCAACCCTTACCTCATCATATTCCTCGTCCAATTCAGTCCATGTTGGGATTCAATGACAACAACCCTCATTGGTACCAATCTGATCCTCCAGCTAAAAAGATATGGAAACCTGCTTCAAGTAAGTTACCTTAACAATCACAATAAAACTCAACATTAACATTAACATTGTCAATTAATTGTTGTATTTCTTCTCCCATTACAGTTACACCATTTAAACAATCAAAAATGCACAGAAGTTCAGGATCGTCCATTTGTCCAATAATTTTATTAACAATCGCCTTTGCCTTCCTCAGTAGTCTGGTCAGATAGACAACTTTAAATCGATATACTATTGTTAAACTGTGATTAACTTGTTACCTATTCTTGCGATTGTTCAAGCCAAATCGTATCTTTGGATTGTCTGTCACTAAACATTCAGCATCCAAAGCGACCGAGAAATACAATGAAAAATGACAAACCTAACGTTAAATCAACTAGTCATTTGTTGGTACAAGCTTTGTTAGATGAAGGTTTGTATTTCTAGAACTTCAAGCCTTATTTTTCCGAAATTGCCTGATATTAATTTCCTTATCTTTTTATTATCCATTTCAGAATCTAAACCCATGAAATATCTGATTGCCATTGTCTTTTGAATCAACTACAATGGCTAAAACCACACTAAATGGCAAATTATTTTACATATTTTTTTATCGCACCAAAAAAACCCCGAGTCAACTATCTTAACCAGTGAATTATCCTAGTCAACCAAATTGAATTTAAATAAAAAGATATTGTTTAACAAATTTATTCATTCAGTGTTAAGTTTATTTCTTACAACCATAAGAACCCTGGTTCTGGTGGACACTGTCCAGTGAATCTGATAGTTGGCTGTTGACCTAATCTCTGAACCGTCAAATCCGTTTTTCACTTGCTTTACAACAAACAAAAACACGATCTAAATCTCTCGCTCTTCCAAGGTTTGTCCACTAATTAGAATTGTCTCAATTATAATGAATGGTAACAAGAAGGTAAACAGCAATTAAGCCTGTTGAGACTGAAGAGGAAATTTTTTTTTCTCCTGTTTTTTCCCTCATTTTTGGCTTTGATGGTTGTGAACAATTTTTTGATTTAACTTGCACTCTTTGTTGATTTGTTGTTGTTTTTTCCACCATAAACTTGAGCTTACCTTCCAGAAGATATGCATCGTTGGTAACAGTTGACGATCCTAAAATGAATATCTTTTTTCCCTTCAGTTTTTTGGCTTATCTGCTGTTTAGCTGTCCAATTCACATCAAACAGCTTTCTGTTGGCAGCAACCGAGAGATAACAATTTAACAGCTAACTCTACTTATTAATATCATTTCGTCTACTTATAATAGCAATTATTGTCAGTTATAATTAATCGAAGTGTGAATAATAAAAAAATACTGTTAATTTCAATTGGATTCAATTTTGTAGACATTCAAAGTCTATTCTAAAATTTTTATCCAAATGTTTAATTGGTCGCCAATTATGTAGCTAATCAAGTATGAAAGGCACGTTTTCAAGATGATAAAATAGCCTGGAAATAGCGTTTTTCAACATTTTTCCCATTCTATTACTTATATCAAAGACTGGTTCAAAGTTATTCAAATTATCTAACAGTGATTATCTCAAGACCTCCTCATCTTCAAAACATAACCCAGAGTTTGACCGTAATTTTTAATCTGGTTTTACCTGCGTTACTTGCAAGTCATTTTATTGTCCATCAATCAATTAAATGACAGATTGTTACAATTAACTCAATACAAATCTATTTCATATAAACTCAGGCTTACAGGAACGGCATTGCTATTTCTTACAGCTAACTCAAAATACCTGTACTTACAAACTAATTAATTTGAGCAAAATTGAGTTTTTCAAGCAAATTCAATCAAAGCATCTTTAAGGCTTACGTGGCGTCACCTCTTGACTAGTTTTGTTACTATTTGTTTCATTTTTAATTGTCGTTTATGCAGTCAAAGAAAATGAGTTTGGCATGAAATAATTCAACTTGGCACATGTAATCAAACTAGATGCTTCCAAAATTTTGAAAAGGTGAGAAATGATCACCCAGATGATATATTTTGATGGCGATTTCTTAATAAATTAATTGAACAAACATACAAATCGTTGTTACAAATACTCAAATCAAGCATTGGAGGGATTTAGACTTAATCCCAATGATTTAAACTATGATTTGAAACGTGAAGTGTTTTCAGACAACTGCTTCGTAATTGTTTATTTTGGTTGGATAAATTATGTAGAATTGTTATTTATTAGGATCGCCTTTTCTGGTAATTAGAAGCAATTTCTTGTCTCACCTCGATATTAAATAATGAAATAAAACTAAATAACTTGAAAATACATTACTACTCCAAATACGAAGCGTTTATCATCACAATTATCCAAATGAATATAATTACGAGTAAAAGAGGAAATATTTTACAGAGACTTGAAGCCAGCTCTATTCATATGTCAAAAACTTTTGTTTCGGTTCATTTTTAGATTCCTTTTCATCAACTTTGTTGTTCACCTTCTCCTGACGTGCTCATGAATTTTTTAATTTGTTAACCTTTATTGAACCGGAAATATTTTGAAACATGGTGCATATGTGATTATGGTTATTCATGGTAAATTTGGTTGTTGGATTCCGTATAAATATTGTTACCTCTCGCAACCTTCACCTTGCCTCAATGAAGTTCAAAGCCAGCAAAACAATGCTAATCAACTATAATAACATTGATAATGTTGGTCTTTGATGAAACTGATATGATTTCATTTTTATTTTCATTCTCAGCTATTTCAACTCATATGCATGTAAATAGCTGATCTTTTATTGTAACGTGCTCATGATTGGCCAAACACAATCAATGTTATTTCACTGCTGTTTCCTTGGACTCGTGACTTGATCTTTTCTTGGTCAGTTCTTAGGCCCAATCTCATGTAAGATGTTTCCTTTGTTGTTATTTATTTGTCATTATTATTTACCTCTCACTGTTATTGTAACTATTCACTCTCACGCAACTTGATTTACTTTACTGATTTAAATTCTGGAGCATCACCATAACTTCCAATCTGGTTTTACCTGCGCTAATTTGCAAGGAATTTTACTGTCCTTAAATAGCATCGAGTAACAAATTGCTACGATTAATCCAACACAACTCTATTTCTTACTTTATTTCGAGCTCAAAGATTAATATTCCATCCGAACGTCCAGTGGCACAATCAATGGGTTGTTATTATATGAAGACATTAAATTAGTCAATTTTTGGTCAAGATATTCTTATATAAAGATAATCTCATGTTAAACAGATGAAAGTTTCAGATTACATTATTGTGTAATCAATCTAAACAAGTTGTATTAAAGATTGATCAATTAATTTCTGGAACTGCAGATGTCGTTCAGCTGATTATCATAGGAGACTCCTCCTCCTTACTAAACCGACTCAGCTGGCAGAGTGAGGAGTTTATAACCTTAAGTTAATTTTGATTTATAATTCATTGATTGTGTTGTTTTGATAATTAACTCGACATTTAGTTCTAATTTGGCTTACTAATTAATATCTAGTTTGCAAGTCTTCATTTTTATAAGACAACTGTAAAATTACTGTTCATTCTACTGCCTGTAATCCTCAAGTTTTCATTTACAAATTATTAAGATCACAAAATGAAAAATTCAAACTGTAAAAACTTACCTCAATATTTGTTCTTAGCAATTATTTTGATTAATTTTTCTTCTTCCATTGCTCTGAAAGGAAGTGTTCCTCTTGATTCTTTAACATTTGATAAGGTAAGTCAGTTATTAATTGCTTTGTTTGCTTCAAATCCGATCGAAAATCACTACCGGTTAGCTTTAGTAACCACTGTTTTCTTATTTCAACGACTATTGTAATTAAACTCATGTCTTATGACACGTCATCACAACTGCTACTCTCTAATAGTTAGAATAATTTACTGGGTACAGTTCCAATCACTAGGTTATTTTAATAATTCATACATCATTTTGTATCTTGTATACAGGTTGTTGGAAAATTTAAAGCTGCCGTTGTCAAATTCGATATTCAATATCCTTATGGAGAGAAACATGATGAATTTGGAGTTTTAGCCAATTCTCTGAAAAATAATGACGATATTTTGGTAGCTGAAGTCGGTGTTCAAGATTATGGAGAAAATGAAAATCAAGATTTAGCAGATAAATATGGTGTCAAAAAAGATGACTTTCCTGTTGTCAAGTTGTTTATTTCCAGTAATCTTGATAAACCCATCGATTTCCCAGCTTCTGAAGATTTCAAGGCTGACAATTTGAAAAACTTTATCAGGTAAGCAGAATTTATCAACCTTCAGCTACTAGTACCATCCCTGGATTACTCTGTCATTAAGTCAACGTGTCTTTGCATTATGAATAACTTGAACTGTAGATTTGGAATAATCGAGAAATTTCTCTTATGCTGGTATCAAACCTCGTTTTCTATTCAGATAATTAATCAATTGATATTACAATAGTCTAGGTGTAGGGAAGTCTATCTACTTTTTCCTATCTATTGTGAACAAAGATCTATTGATTAGTCATTGTCGTTGTCTATCATTGCCCATAATCAAAAGCTGATTTGAATTTGATGCAAACCTCATAAATTTTATGTATTTAGCATAAACTGTTATTAATTTGTTTGTTTATTTCATTTTTTGCACAGAAAACACACTGGTATTCGAATGATTCTTGACAAGTGCCTCGGCGATTTCGATAATATTGCCAGTGAATTTATGAATTCGGAAATTAGTAAAGACCAACAAGCTAAGCTTCTGGAGAAAGCACAGTCTCAAGCTACTAAACTAACCAAGGAAGATGATAAGAAATCGGCTGACATTTACATTAAGCTTATGCAAAAAGTCATAGAACGTGGATCTAAATTCATTGAAAGTGAAAAAGTACGCGTTAAGAATATTATGGATGGCAAAATTTCTAAGACCAAAAAAGAAGAGATGCAAGCAAGACTTAATATCCTTGCAAGTTTCATTGCTTCTGATGAAAAATCCGCCGCCAAAGAAGATCTTTAGAGAACTTTTTCTCGCTCACAATTCAAAATCGCTCGAATTGTCAGATTGAACATCATTCCATTTCTCTAACAGTTGCCATTTAAATTTGAATAAGTTTTTCTCTTTGATAAACTTAATCTTCCCATGGACAGTTTATAATGAGTGATTCCCTTATTCACTTTGAACAATTACCTCTTTCAATCCTAAGTCACTTTAAAACCATATTTAGATCAATAATTTCACCATTATTGTCTTGATAATAGCAATAATATAATTTAAAGTCAACTTTTTTCAGTCTCATCTTTTGTCTTCAATTTTCCAACTAACAAATGACAAACTTCAATGATCATGTAGGCTATTGGTGAATTATCGAATATTAATCAATTGTAAACAGGTCTATTTATTTTCCTTACTGCCAAAAAACTACAATGACATTTTTCTACTAATTGTAACTACATAATTATGCATATTCTGCATTCCATGACACTTTTGATTATTGTCTATTCCAATTGAATATTTACCATTCCAATCGAACAAGTTGTAATTTATAATTTCAAATTTTTCTAACTACAATGTAATAGTAGATTGTAACCAAAATGGAATCTTCTTTAAACAGAAAAATAAACAACGTAATTGATATCAACCGTTTGCAATCAATTTTTTCATAAAAAGTAGTTAATTGAGATTTTGTGGCTGCAAGATTAGTTTTATTTTACATCTCTAGATGTCACTTTGGCTGCTTCTGGTCAGCTGGCTGCATGTTTCGTTGTTTACAAATTGAATAACTTTACTGTTGTTCAATCAATCTCAATACTCTAATTTTTGTGTAATTTTCAATTTTAACAATCATCAAAAATGATTCAACTCATCATCGCTGCTTCTAGAAATTATCTTCCTTATGTGACCTTTCCTGCAGCCTTGGTAATTGGTGCAATTGGTTATAATTTAGAAGGTTATCTGTGGAAAAGCAATACGCCGTCTACTCAAAGTGTTGAAAAAAATAGAATTGAAAGACTAATCAGTGAACTTGATCAGCAAGATCCAGTGAATGTCAAGCCGTTAAAGTCAAATAAATATGAACCCGAAGCTGTTATCAACCGTCAACTATCTCCTTCTTTACAACAGCAATAACCTTAGTTTTCTAGTCTACTTTACAGACCTTACAAACAGAGATTCAACCATGGATTCATGTAAACGATCATTTGATAACAATAAACTTAATTTTTCTAGTTATACTCTAAGTTCTACACACAAGATTAATCAATTTTATAGCTGTTATCACTATTTAGGATTACTTATGGTTTCATTGCCTTCCTTAATATGTTGAGAAACATGTTTACCTGGACAACAATTTCACTGATTGCATGATGAAACTTGGATATGATATGACATAAGAATAATGTGGTTTAAGAATAACTGAATTGCCTTAAACATTTTGTAATTAAACACTAAAAAATGTACATAAGTAAATGAATAAAAACTCCGATCAAATCACATTAACCAGTATTTTATTGGTTGGTATAAATGAAGCAAAAATTAATCACAAAGTAAATTTTGATGACATAACAATAATCCGTTTGATATTAATCTCATCATTTTCACGTCTTTGATTGTAAGATCATTTGTACTTTAACAGTCTTAAGTCGCCACGAAACATCCATTGTCACATACGATTAAACACTATGATAAAAAAAGGAGAAAAGATTGAATTAATTTCAATTTTCAGCTAATGAATAAAATAAATTTACTTACTAAATTGGGACTGGCATGTAAACTGGCTGTTGATTGCGGTTTTGACTTCCAAGTAATAATCCCAACAATATGGCTTGTTTATACTTTTTATTACCGAAGGCAATTGTAACTGTGTATAATAAGAAGAAACAAAGGAGAAATAAAGTAAATTTAAAAGTAAATTTGTTAGCCATTTTCAATTGCATGACAATTGAAAATTTAATCCAAAATGTGAGTTATCCAACGAAATTGAAATGCGAACACAATTTAAGTTTAAACGTCTGAAGCTTAACTGCAACTGAGAAAGGCAAGGGATAAAGTCGATCAATTTATTGCCACCATCGTTTGGCTATTTTTGATGATAGCGCCAACAAGAACTCGTTTTTCGGTAAATCATAAAAGTAATTAACTTCATGTTTCCTGTAATTTCAATGGATCAATTAGATTTCCTCGGATTAACATGCAACATTCAACACAATGATAAGAAGATTTCATTTTCAAGCTTTTATTAACCGTTTAATGGGATACATTGAGAACCAATTGTTTAACCAGTGATTAGCAAAGCGACAACACTTTTACTAATCCATTGAGTGAAGCTATAAGTGATAAAAAATGATAGACATGATCATAAATTTGCCATTAAAATATTATTTTAGCAACAAGTTTGTTGATGGTTGATTCGTGAAATGTCGCTTCAATTAACGACCCTAATCATATAATAGTTTGGTAAGGCTAACCAGTAATATTTACAATTAACAGAAATCTTTCAACCATAAAAACCAACTTATTATTACGATCAAGTTAAAAGGGTGAAAGTTTACTGTATCTTAATTTGAACCACCGAATACAAGATTGTATAATTGAATTGAAATAACCAGTCATTTTGTAACAATTAAAAGCTTATAATTTAACCACAAAAGCAAGATTAATTATTTTAATGCTTGTAATTAATTCAATTAGCCTTTGATTCTAAGTCTTTACATGAAGGAAGCGGAATGAAATCATGTCAACTCTTCAAGAATTATAATATTGGTCCGTTTTTGAGTGGAAGTTGAATAACCCTGAAGCTAATGAAAATTATACATTTATCTTGATTAATTCCTTTGAATTAAAACTATGAAAAATTTAAACTGAGAATGGAAATCAAGATTTATAAATTGAAAGCCATGTCTTACATTTCAGTCTAAACATTTTATATTTTTTTCATTGAAATTTCATTTTTATCATCATAATTAAATGTTAATTACAGTGTTGAAAATGTGTTATAATATAATGCAATATTATAAAATATTTATCAATGAAGTGTGATTTGTGATCGACTTTGTCAATCAGTATTATTATATAAATAATAAAAATAATTTGGATTAAATAAGCATTATTGACTTCAAATAGTGTGTCTTTTGTTTATTCATTTGAACCGTTGTTGTTGCCATGATTCGTATTTCTTAGTTACAAAGTTTTTTTTATTATTGTTCTTCAAAACTGGACACTTGACAATGAAGATGATTATGATGATGATGATGAGGTTCGAAAAGAACAGAAGGGGAAAAATGAAAACGTAGCAAAAAATAACTAACAGTGGGCTGTTTTTCCTAATCTTGCATTTCTTCAGGTAACTCGTGAGGATTGATGATTCCTGGTACTGTCATTTGAAGTTTCCTTTTTTCTGCTTCCGCTATCCTCATGGCTTCTTCTCTTTCTTCGAGATATAGATCACTATCATCTTCACCCGCAAATTCCTAATTAAAAAAGAGAGGAGGACAAAATAAAACGATTAGTAAATTATTGAAAAGTAACAAAATGTTGTAAGAGATAAAAAAGAAAAACAAATGATTAAACATTGTAATTCAGTCAATGAAAGATTGTATCGAATGGAAAAAGACATGTTTTATCAGCTGAATTCATTATGCCAAGGCGTATTTGAAGGAAAATAATATTCCGTAAATGTTGAAACAAGCATTGTTACAATTCATTTCATTGGCCTTGACTATGAGAAAGATGTTTTTTTCTGAGTGCAAACTGACTAAACTTTAAATGAAAATTTTTTGAGGAAACAGGAAACTTATGCAGTAGAAATAAAAAAATCATGTGAAGCATTTAAACTTACCCGAATCTGAACTAAAAAGTCTCTGAGATGTTCTTTGAAACCCGTTATATCTCGATCTAGTTTGAAAAAACCTCGGACTGTTAATTGTATTTGTGGATCAGTGAGATGTGGGAAGGCGGCTTTAAGAAGATTGGCCACAAAATCTTGTACATATTGCTCATTTGTTTGGTTCGTCTGGCTTTGAACAGCAGGATTAAGAGGTACTGTTATTTTACCAGATTCAACTACGAAAAACATGAACGCCAAGATAGTTGCTTGTAACGTGAGGCCTGCAACATGAGATGTATCGGTAACAACAGAGAAAATATGTTGAAGAATATCAGTGTAATAAGTTTGATAGAAACTTTGCATTGCTGCCTCCTCTCTTCCAATATCTTCTAATAACTCAAGTAAAATTTGTAAACCAATGTCAGCTACATTTCTCATGGTATGTTTAAATGCCCAGATTATGGAGTCCAAAACAAGTTTAAACTGATTGGGTGGGATCATTAACAATGCTTTGAAACAATGATTCACAACTTCTTGTAACATTAGATAGAAATTGGTCCGATATTCTGGAAATTCTTGGAAATCTTTGTTAATCATATCGAGAGTACACTCAAAAACTGCATCAAAAATCTTGGGAATCTCCGAAGCAATTTCACCCTGAAAACAAAAATAAATGTGATTAGAATGCTAAGGATTAGAAAATTGGATAAACACAAATAAAAAACAAGACATTACATTTTCGATCAATGATACTTTACTTACTTGCAACTGATTGACTATAGTTGCCATGGTTGAGAGTACTTCTGGTTCTCTAGCACAAGGCACTGCACATCTCTGATAATCTAGAAGAACCGCATCCAGAAGAGGCGGAATAAAGTTTTCTAAAACCAATTTAGGGTCTGATGATCTTTCTATCCAACCGGAGATCAATTTTAATGTCTCTTTTTTAACTGTCCTCATACTTCTAATTAAAGGCTGTTTGGTAACAGATTCACCGTTTAACGCAATCGCTGCACTAATGTTTTCACTCATAACTTTATAAACATTCAACATGTCCAAATAAATTCGGCCAAGTTGCACAACATAATGATGTCCTAGAGCTTTACAGGCACGAACATTGGTTTTTAAAATGTTGCCCAATTGTTTCACGGCGTCCGGATCTTTAAGAACATCGACGTTTTTAAATGCTTGATTGATTATGTCATCCCACACTTGATTAGGTAGAAACATATACTTCTTAATCAAAGCGTTAGCAGCCGGCACATCAGCTTGAGCAGCGATCATATGACCAACAGCTTCATAGAAGGTGTGTACCTGAAGTCAAAAAGCAAGATAGAGAATTAAATAAAAAATGTTCAAAAGAAAGTAAACAATAAATTTACCTGTTGTGGTTGTAAATCACAAATAATGGAATTGATGTTGCTCAATATTTCTTCGATGAAAGGTTGAACTTCACCAATCTGGACTTGAACAAAATGACGACGACATTTTTGCGCGATCTTAATGAATGTGTCACAAGCCATGTCCTGTACACCTTCATGTGTTTCTATAAAACAATAAAAAAATTGAATAGTTAGTAATCATTGAAAAGGCTTGCGATTATTAAATTAAAAAAATGTATCACTAGAAAAAGCATATTAATTAAAATAGTAACTTACCGTGCATGAATTCAAAAAGTTTGTTAACGACAGTCTTGAGAAATTTCCAATGAGCACGTAAAAATCTAGGATATTGACCAACGACATACATGATATTGGATGCTATGATGGCCTTATTATCTTTTCCTCTTTTTTGTTCACAGAGACCAAGTAAATCTTTAATTACTGTGACTAGAAACCTTCGTTCATCTTCTTCACTCATAGCTCCACTTATTGACCCAATAGCCCAACATAACTGAAAAAGATCAAAATCCAAGATGAGTTTAAAATAATAACAAAATATATACATTAATAGCTATTCAAAATTACTTACCGTGTTAAGACTTTTCCAACCCCATTCTGATCCATTGACTTGATTCTGCAATTTTTCAGTCATAATTCGTTCAGTATCTGCACAATCAAGGTTTGTTAAATAAATAAGCGTCTCTCTCATATTTTTATATAACTGTATAGAGTCTGTATCTTTCATGAATTCCCTCACAACTTCTCCTTGTTCATTTTCCACGACCAGCACTTCCTCTGGCTTAGCCATCCTACCAATAATTATGTAACGCAGTTTAGAAAGAATAGGTCTATATAATTCACGACGAAAACTGATCATAACAGAACTCGGCGACATCACTTGAGTACCTCGTTGAGCTACTGGTTGTGGGAATTCATGATACAGATCAGTAGCGAGACAATTCCAATATTCTAAGCAGATCTTAAAAATCTCCACTTCGTTAACTTCGGAAATCATTAAGAGACCATTCAGAGATCCCATAAGTATCTCTCGATATTGTGGTTTTTCTATCAGTTGTCCATGCTCTTTCAAGAAGGTGCACAAAAATAAACTCAAATTTTGGACGAACTTTTGTTCTTCATCAGTTCCGATCGCATAAGCCTCTCGGATGTCAGTATCGGCTGGAAGCATCTGTGAAAATAGTAAGAAAATAATAAGAAAATTAGAGAATAGTTCTAACGAATTGTCATGAAACTTACATTCTCAAGTTGTTGGCCTGTCTGAGTAAACAATGTGATGAACATTTCATCGTAGTGAGCAGCATTGATTGCCGCTATCTCAGTGAGACATTTAAGCGTAACATTTCGAAACATAGGAACGATGAAAAACTGTAAGATGAAAAATAAAAAATAAATTATTAATAAAAATTAATAAAAAGCCACAGTAGGACATGAAATTAAAACAAAGAAAAAAATGTACTAGACCACCAGCTAAGTTAAGTAATTAGGGGGATTTACCAGCTCAGTACATAAAGATAACAATTGAGGAAGTGAAAATGATAAGATTACACAAAATTTGGTCAATATAAAATAAATATGTGTCCGAAAGGTGAAAGGATTATTTGTCCTTTCATAAGTTGCATCATTTTAGAAACAAAACTTGTTGTTATCATAGAAAAATTCGTTCAATAAAAAACAAGTTGAGATAAAGAATTAGATTTATCTGAAAAGATGAGACAATAATAAACTTGAGTTGAATTTGGGAAAATTTGCTAAGATAATTGAGTTCTACGTGAACCGGTATAAAGCGGCAGGAACAAACGCCAAAATCTATTTGATTGTCCACATATTTTGAATGGAATATTTCCTAAACTTTAAGCTAAACAGAGAGAAAATATTTACTGAAGAAAGTAGGAGAGTATAGAAATAATACTAGATGCAAAAATTGAGGTGATTTTTGTATTTCAAGATTACGTTGGTAGTGCAAAACTAACATCAACAAAGCGTGAAAAGACGAGGTATAATAGATAACTCTTATTAAGGCATAAAACTGTGGCAAGATGAATGAGTGGGTTGTAATGAGCTTTTAGGCTTTGAGAGTAAGCTTACTTTAAAAATGAGAGTGCTGATAAGTTTAGTCTCGAAAATGTATCCAAGAGGAATCCAGTTGAGAAAACGCAGAAGTGTTTCCAGTGTGCAAAGAATTAGATTTGGGTTCTGAGAATTTTCCAAAACGAATTGACACAGCTGAAAAATTTGTGAGAATTCCGAGCACATTGTGTCTTTGAGATGCTTGGCTTTGGCTTGCGTCATTTGACCGGTAGAGAAATCGAAAACTTCTTCGCTGTAATAGAGAAATAAAAAGATGTAATTAATAAAAATGACTAGTAGAATTAAATTACAAACTAAAAAACTCACCTCAGAAGTTTTAGAATTATCATATTATTCTGACACAAACTTTCATTGGTTTTACTAGCTCCTACTATATCACTGATGAAGGTAGGCCATTTTTTGGGCCATTCTCTTTTCAATATCTGAAAAAATAGAAAAAGAATAAGTGTTAGATAAAGCAAGCCGTATCGTTATATGTCACAGGTACATGTACTAACCTGAACTAATATCATATTAAGTTTATTGAGATAAACTTTTTCTTTAACCAGAGACTCTGGGTCGGATGATGTCTTAATGATAAGACCAACGATATATTTTTTGATTCCTTCACATTGGTTACGAGGTAAAACTTTCCATCTCGTTTTAATAACATTTTCCAAGATTTGTAACGCATAATACTTGGTTTGTTGATTCTTTGAAAATTCAAGAATGGTGTCAACACGAGTCCAAGCATCTGGATGCTCTTTCAGTGTTGTCAATATTTCTTGTGCTAATCTTTGTTGAGATCCTTCACCATTATACATATAATTGACTATGGAATCCAACAAGTTAATATCAAGCTTCTGATTGAAATCCAACAGACTTGCAGCCGCATCGGCAGGAAATGCTCCCAATCTCCCCATAGTTTTAAGTCTTTGTGTCAAGCAAGGTGTGGTCAGTGTTTGTGATAACATGGTATTGTTTAAGTGAATTCGATTCTAAATTAAACAATAAAAACCAACATTGATTTTACATACCTTTAATTAGTCCCAATATGATTGGTGTAAAAAAATGCTTTGATACTCCTCAGTATAGTGTGGGTTAAACGTTATTGTGTAGCAAAAACACACAGATTGGATGATGTGATTGAGACAGATAAACAGTGGAAAAGTGAGAAGACAATCTCAAACTAAGGAAGAAATGTAAAGGTATAATAAAATAGAATTAGAGTAACAAAAATTGGTTAAGGTTTAATACACTTAAATTTAATTTAAGTGTGGAAAAATAAGAAAGCAAGAGTAAAAAATGACCAGACCAACGGCGGAGTTAGGAAACTGATGATAGAAAAGGAGATTCCCTCGTACAGATGTCGCTCTAAGCAATTTTAACGCTAATGAAACATTTTTTGAATCAAAATATAAAAAAAACATACAAATTCAAAGGTAAAACGCCAATTTTCAGTTAATAAAATGATTAAAAATTAATAATAAAAATGGATAAAAATCGAGACAAGATGAAATTGAAAATTTATAATGAAAGTGAGTCCTGTTAGGATGTTAATAATTTACCAAATGAGCTAATTGTGGGCGAAAATAAAATGCAATAAATGTCTTGAAATAAGACATGAAGTTGATAAATCAATGATCAAGAAACAATATAAATAACTCTGAATGTAAATTAAAATAACAATCGGAAGAGAAAGAAAGCAAGAGAAAAAGAGAGAGAAATATGAACATGTAGAAAGAGAAAGAAAGGAACCACATTAGTCTATGTTATTGTCAAAAAAGTAGAGGGAGTAAGAGTGAGAAGGAAAGATGATAAAGAGGGAAAATGAAAGAGAGGAAGACAAGGTAAGGGAATGAAGAGAGGGAATAAAAATGATCCTGATCCTACTTGTTTTGACTGGAATAAACCGGATTTTGTATTCACTTCTGTACAGTAATGTGTGAAAGGTTTTTGGTTATTTCAATACAACGGATAAATATTATCAACTTACCTTTTTTAATCATGACAATAGTAAAGGTAACAATTAATAGTGTTTATTTTGATGTCGTTGGATTACGCGTTGATAATTCTTACCATCAACTGGCTGATATTTCTAGTAAGGATGGTATTTAAGTTAAAATAATGGGTTTCTTTGGTCTTACAACTCTTTAGTTGTTTCTGCATTTGAAAAACAACCAAATGTTTTTTTTCTTGCTCCTCCTAAGTAGAGGGAGCAATCTTTAATTTTCAAATGTTGCTGTTTTTTTATCCTCTTGATATTGTTTGGTGTACAATACTAATGTGGGATTTAGATTCAACTTTGACACTAATTTAAAAATGTATTTTAATCAATCGTGTGGTTGCGTCTATTTTGAATGTCTTTTTTTATTGGTGTTTTATAAATTGTAACAAATATTTACAGAAAGATCAAGTTTCAACACATTTTTCAACATTGGTTAGTTTGAGCTTCATATTGACATAAACAAAGTTATCTAAAAGCTTTTTCTTAAACTCTATTCGAATCCCAAAGAGCAGGCATCTCATCCCAACATTCAAAAGGTTGTAAAGTGTAAAAGTTGAAATCTTGTTGAGATGTGATGGCAAAAATTAGTTGAGATTTACCACACTTTTCATCTAAATGTATTAAATCATTTACTGTTGGAGGGCAGTCAGTCTCGTCACTTATGGTTAGACAATAATCGAGATCATTGCTGGAGAAATTTTTCCGTGAAGATGTATAAACTTGATATTTCAAGGCAACATCAGAGGAGGAAGGTAACCGTGAGTTTAAGCACTTTTCTTGAGGTCCGGCCTCTTTAAAAATTTGGTGCAATCTATTGATGTCTGTGACTTTGGTCTGATCAATTAAAGGTTGCAAATTTTTTGAATAGTCAATTAAACTTTTGTTGGGCAGCTGATCGAATATGTTTCTTTCGTTGCGAATCTCCTCATTGAGTTCCAAAACAGTAGCTTCTTCAGCAAAAATAACTCCAGGTTCTCTTGGTGTAGTGCTGCGTTTATATTCAGCCCAATTGGCGCATCTATCGAAACTGGTTCCTCTAAGAAACATATCTCTCCTCAGTGGCATCATCACCAATCTCAAAGCACAGTTTGATTTTATAATTGGTTCAACTGTTTTATTGGTGATAAATGTTGTACTAGAGATATTAGGAGCTAAACTTCGAGCTTGATCAGACTGTGGAAATGGTTTTAACTTGTAGCCTAATCTAGTCAAGTATGCATAAACTTTGTAACATTTAAAAAGGTATTCATCTGTTAATATTAATTGATAAGCAGTTTGTAGGCTCAGCGGTAATTCCATGTAATTGACGATAATGGATTCAGTTTCCATAAGAAATAAAGTTTCTTCAGGTGTATATCTCAACTGATTGTTTTCAGTGTAACCCATCCATGGTTGTCTTTTCTTATCACAAATCACCACGGCTGATTTGGTCTGAGGACACCAGACTGCTAATCCCATCTCACTTGCTGATCTAACACGTGGTTCCTTTAATATGGCAAATTTGTTGTTCAATTCAGTTTGGACTCTATTGGCCAAGCTGTCCATCTCTGCTGAATTATTGGGTAAATTTACAATTTTTGTTGAAAAAGAGTTTTGTCTAGGCCGCATCTTTTTCTTGGTTTTGTAATTTAACTTCAATAGCAATAATTGCTCACCACTGCAACAAACGAAGAAATATTATATTAGAAAAGTCTTCTGCAAAGTTAGAGAATGCTATAAAGTTAGGATAATTAATGGTACACTAAAAACAATCAAGGCTTACCTTAACAATACCGAAGTATCCATTTTTTATTTAAATAGAAGAGTCTATACAAAACAAACAAACAAACAAATATGTGCTTACCAAAACAACAACGAAATGTTTACAAACAGCTTCTAGAATAAAGTGCGCGCGATTCAGATCACAAATTGGTGCAAAAACTGTTAAATTGCAAAATATTCATTCATGCTTTCGATTGTTTTTCCTTGGCTTTTTATTTTAAAATTTTTAAATATTTTCAACAAAGCTAATTTCATTAGCATATTGTGAAAGAAGCATAATGGAACTAAACTCACAAGAAAGTGCCACATCAATATCAAGTCTATTTAGTAGTATATTGTCCAAACGTGTAGGACCCTCTCGATTAAGATTAAAACACAGACATAAAGCGAGGGATTCTCAGGTTTCCACTTTTCCGAAGATAGTTAAACTCGTGGCCGCATGTTGTTGCTTTTTGGAAATTGGAATTGCTACTTCATTGAGTGGTGCAACATTACTTGATCTTAAAGTTGCTCTTGGAACAGTAAATGATAAAGAAAGCTTAATTATTCTCAATTTATCAGCTGGCGATGTAGCTGGAACCATAATCGGTTAGACTTTGTTTATTCCTCTAATTTAATTAGAATTGCATTGATTAGTCCCTTGATTATAACCATCTGTCATTGCTGACAGTCCTCACAAAATTATTGACATCCATCTATTTGTTTTGTAATCCTTATTAAAATGAAACTTTCTAGGAGGATATTTGGCCGATAGAATGCGAATCGAGAAATTATCAAGCGCCAATTTGATTGTGATGGCACTGGCAGGTTACGCATTGAACCTGACCAAAGATAGAGGGATAATATTTGCATGTTTTATCATCTTTGGCTTCACAACTGCTTTCTTGGAAATTGGTGAGTTAGTGGTCAACAATTTTAAATCATCAATTTTATCAAATGATCTCATAATTTGCTTTCCTTAGTTATGGAAGTTTGGATAATGAATCTTTGGGCTGGTTATGGAGGGACAATTACACACGTTGCGTACTTCTTTTTTGGTCTTGGTACTTTTGTTGGTCCTTTTCTAGTTTCTCCTTTTTTAGATGAATCACCAAAAATCACAGTAACAAACAGCAATCAAACCAAGATTGATCTGCCAATGGACAATTCTTCTAATGTATTTATTCCGTATAAGATCTTAGCTCACTATAGTCTCTTTTTATCCATATTTTTGGTCATTATATGCATAGCTTTCGATAAAAATGATAATCAATCAAGCATCAAAGGAAGACATGAAGACAAAAATTCGAAAGTTGATCTTTTGTATATTATCATCATGGGTTTCTTTTTCCTTCTTAGCCAATCAATAAATGGACTTGACTCTAGTTTTGGCTTGCTTGTAATGAACTTTTCCATTGTGTCTGCAACTAATTTCACAAAAAAAGAAGGTTAGTTTGGTTTTAATCATGAAATTAAATTTACCTTCAATCTTTTCTTATTTAGGCGTCCAACTTTCAGCTTCCTTTTGGTGTGCGTATACGTTCACTCGTATAATCACCATGTCGTTGATGCGATATATTAGTGATCGTGCATTAATGTGGACTCATTTGGCCATAACTGGATCAGGAATTATCCTCCTCTTGATCTTTTATCCAAGCAATTTGTTTCTATGGATAAGCACCATTATCATAGGTGCAGGCATTTCTCCAACATCTCCTTTGGTTCTTTCTTATTTCAATCATTATATTAAAGTAACTGGTAAAATTGCAACGGTCTTCATGTTAGCTGGTTGTTTAGGTGAATTTATTTACCCAACATTGATGGATTATTTTCTTAGCCGTTATCCATTATCCTTTGTGTACATAAATATTTTCAACATTTTCTCCGCGATGGTCTACTTCTTTTTACTTGACAAGTTCATATTGAAACGAGAAGAAAGACTCAACTTCGATCAAGATGAAGTGTATGTTGACTGAAAATATTTTAAATACAACCAATTTTAATTTAATTTTGCCTTACTATTTATTTCGAACACTGTGTTTCATCTGTGCTTTTATTGAAGATCAGATAAATTTAAACCCGGAAGATTAGATTTGTATCAAGCTGATTATGTGAATAAATCTGTCTAGTTCAAATAGTCAAGGCTAGCACATATGCTGATAAAACGCTTTACTCTGGAAGAAAAATGCATGTGATCTGCGATCAAGATAACCATTGAATGATGAAGCATAAAGTTCGTTTTTTAACCAATTGGCTATTTTTATTAAATGATGTGCTTCGTTTAAAATGATATATTCATCGAGTCATAGTTTGAAATTTTTATCAAATTGAAGTATAAAAAGAGCTAAATATGTACCTTGGAAATAAAATTTGATCAGATAAACATCAATGATTGAAAATAATTATTTTTGCTTTGAATATTAAGACAAAGCGATATAATTTTTATAAATATGAATGATTGGTTAAAAATTGCTGATGAAAATCTCTGAAAAGTTCGAGTGTCGAGTTGATGAATATCTAATCTGACTTTTCTTCCAAGGCTTTATAAGTTGATAAATTTACTCGTTTTAAATTCCAAATAAATATTATTGAGTTGATTTCTTCTCCCCTTTTGCATGGTGCATCAACATGATCTTCTTGAAATCAGACTTTTTCCAATTGGCAGCTGCTTCAGGATCCAATGGATCATCTAAATTGGGTTCACCGAGAAGCGATTGTATCGAAAGTAGTACAGATCTAACATCGTATGACGCAGTCCATTTATCCTAGAATAAAAAATAAAATAGTTAAAGTAGTTGAACCGACAAGCAAACCAATTATGTTACTCACCTTCAAAATGTCAAGACAAATGTTTCCAGAAGAATCGATATTAGGGTGATAACAGGGACTTATGAATTTAATATTTGGGGGAACATAAGGATATTGTGTAGTAAATTTGAGACTTAGTTTAAATTTCAGATTCTCGTAGACGGTATCATTAGGTCCATCAATGGTGGCAATCCATTTGAAAAAAGTGTCATCCACAGGACAGGCAGATATACCTTTATCACGTCCCATAACAAGATCCATCAGTTCCTTGCGTAAACGAGAAGAGGAAATGTTTGCTTTAGAATCTCTAGTGCTGTTAGAAGAACGATTTTCACCAGTTGAAGACATTTTTACACAAAAATTGAATAAGGAGATATCACACTAAAAATTGACGAGAAAATGAAAGTTGATGATAATGATGAACGTAATAAAATGATTTTTACATACAACATGGAGTCTCCATGATGGAGCCTTTTAATTTGAATTTAAAATCAAACAATCTCATTGGATAACAACATTATCAAACATCCTCCTATTGGCTGTTATTAGTTAACGGTTAGCGTCATCTGACGTTTAGTGATGCATTTAAATACTGCGTACTTCTGTCACTTGAAAAGCGTCTCTTTATTCAAAAATTGAAATTGATTTTTATTTTTAATTGTTTTTAATTTTAAACAATGTTTACCCTGACCCTGAGATTCCAATGTTATAAGCAAATAGGTTAATTATTTTGTGTGAAGTCAAGAAGATACAAGAAGTACGATGTGCCTGGCTGCATTCTCGTAATGCTTTTTTCCATTGTTGATGGCATTTAAACCAATATTTTTCAACAAAAAAGTTTAATTTATCCAAATAAACTGATTTATAAATTGGTAATTTATTTTAAACCCAAAGTTATCCACTGTGTTATGACAAACGTGGTTTAAGAGGATTTCCCATCATATTTTGAATCCTCATGAGTTGTTAGTCATATCTATTGTGTGCTATTATTTTATCTTTACTCGCCCATTTTTCTTTATCATCCATGTTGCTCTTTTCCTTGGCAAACTTTTTTATTTGTTTTTACCTTTATTATTTGGCTTTATTGTAACATTAGTATCATTATTTATATATTTTCACCGGTACCATCAGCAAAATAGAGCAATCAACTTTATTTGTTTCATCAACCCTGTTTTAACTTGCCTCTCATTTGAGAATCTGTTATTTCTTGCTTTATGATCATACAATGAACATCATGGGACAATCGATTGATTTGCAGTATAATTTTTTTCCACGTAAGAATAATCTTTCAATTAGTTTGGTCTATTAGATTACCTTTTACTCATTATTCCAATGGAACTTCAGTGAAGTGTTTCAAATGGAATTTTGTACAATTTGAAGTTTTTTTGGTCAGATTTTAAAATCAAACATCTCTTGTAATCCTTCAATTCATTAAATTGCATAATTCATGAGCAATTCACTCAAGTTTACCATGAATGTTGTAACTCTGTTATATTTTCAGTTTTAATTAGCCTTTAAATTGAAACAAAATGGACAATTTTTCCTCATTCCTCCTGTATGAAAGTTCGTAAGTTAATCACCCTTGAAATTTTAAACCAACTGACCTCAATAGAAATGCTTGTGAGATACAAGCTTTTTACACTATGATAAGAAGAAGGTAAGCTAATCAGTAATGAACAGTAATCAATCAAACTGAATTCAACTAATCAATAATTAACTAGGTTGGTGGAAACTTTCAGCAAATGTTGCCATCTGTGTGATGCCATTTGCAGCTTATTTGATATCCATTTGATTCTTAAACTAACAAAATCTTCATTGAAAATTGAATTGCAATTTAACAATGCAATCACCATGAAAAGTTGTTCAATGAAGAATAATGAAAATAATTTGTGTAAAGATTAGCATTGATGGGAAAAACATGAATACTAATGAAGTAAGGTCAGGACAAGAAAGACAAGGGGAAAGTAATGATTGGAATATGGCACATGAGAGTTTACATGATTACAAAAGATGTAAACAAGGTGAAATGAGCATTAAAAGTATGTGTATTTCAATTGAACGTCCTTTCGTTTTCCATCACAACTTGTGTTTCATCCTTTTCCTTCAGAATTTTCCTCTGGAGAAGATGAAAGTCCAAATATCCGGTGATTCTTTAGCTGTAAACACCAAAAAGAGCAAAAATTATGAGACATATGAAATGAAAAGAAATCACAATTGATATTTAAAAATGAAAGAGTAGTATCTCAGCTCTTAAGGAAAAACTTACCTTTTGTTTCATCTGGTAATCTCAGTTTTCGGTTTCTTGAATCTCTCACCTTACTTCCCTCCTCATTCTCACTTGAATCGCTATTATCATCGTTTCAATCATAGTCTCACTCGGGATTAGTATAAATAAAGACTAATCTGTTTAAACTGGTTAGCTTGTTTAATTGTTACAAACTGCTGTCCCATCTAGGTTAAATCTTCGACGAAATGGTCTATCAACTCTTGCTGGCAATTCCATTGCTCTTTTCATTTGCTGCTTCAACTATTACAGGTTTGTTATGATTTATCAATTTACTCGCTTCATTCAATGTTATTAGATATTTTTTCTGATTACTTATAGAGCCTTCAGACTGTAAGAACTGTCCTGAATTAAAATTCACGTATCATTATGCTGCTCGTGGATGTAATCCTGTTTCAAGGGTTGGATGTCCTAATTGTATAGAGCGATATGAATGTAACTCCATTCAGAAAGAAGCAAATAGTGAGTAAATTACCATTTTCATTTTCATTGTTCATCACAAATCATGATTATCCTGAAATATGTAGATATGTCAATTTTATCATTTCAAATTTGTAAACACTAACGCTATTTCCTGGTTAGACTGATTGTTCAAATCCTCTTGACAAATTCAGTGGCAAGTAATATTTCATCGCAAAATAAATCAATACCTTGCTGAGAAACATGACTTTTATCAAATATTCACAATCAAATTGTTAAATCTTAATCAGTTCACTATTTCGAGTATAAAAGTTAGTGTAGTTATAAGTATCACAACACAAATTGATGGATAATCCAAGCACTTTCATACTAATCAATGACTTTTTCAATTTAGAGTGCTATTATGCTGGAGAAAGTTATGACATTGATAAAGACATCAAATTTCCTGACCCTTGTAATCGATGTCGGTGTTATGGATCGATAACAGACAAAATGTTAAAAGCTAAAATATCTTGCGCTCTTGTTGAATGTCCTGGGACATTTAGTTCACCTAATACTGATATAAACAATCAGACATGCTATTACTCATTCAAACCCGGCCAGTGTTGTGGAGAAAAACGTTGTCCTGATCAAAAGCCTATGGTTACTTGCTCCTATGAGGGTAACACTTACATGGAGGGCCAAAAAATTGAATTACCAGATTGTTACACATGTTCTTGTACATCCGACTTCAATCCAATGAACGTTAAAAATAATCCAGCCTGTTACAAACATACGTGCTACTTTGATACCAAAATGTTGGACGCCGGTTGTTTACCAGTTTACACTAAATCAGGTTGTTGTTATACACAATACCACTGTCGTAAGTAGATTTTTAAGCAAACAAATTGTTGTAAATTAACCATAATGATAAAATTACTCATTTTTAAAAATTGAATAGCCTCACCGAATCTTGAAAGGCGACGAAACCACTGTAGACAAACACATTATTATGGATACTGTCAGCAAAACCTAACCTACTATCATTTTGATACAAAAACCAACCAATGTCTTCCCTTCACTTTTTCTGGCTGTGGTGGGACAGTAAATACTTTTGCTACCCTGAAAGCGTGTACAGATTACTGTACAGCTCCTGATCCGATTCGACCTGCACCAATTCCCGGCAAATGTTATTTTGACGGTGTCAATTATGACATTGGAAGTAAACTTGTCACAAAAGGAACTTACAATTGTATATGTTCAATACCACCAGATTTTACTTGTGTATTGAAGGATTGAACAAAAAAATTGATCAAGTTTTAAATCCCTTAAAAATTAATTTTCAATCCTTAACGCTAAAATCAATATCAGAATCACTAGAAAATAAAATAAAATAGAATGAAATAAATTTCATGAAATGATTAAGATAAGATGATCAAATTGCTATTTAGTGGAGTGAAATAAGAAATGTGTATTTTTATATCAGTTTTGCCTTGCAAGAATAGATGCACGAATTAAATCTGATATTCAATTAAGTTTGATATTACAGACTTTTGAATACGATATTTATGAATGAGCTTCAATTTCAAACGTTTTATAAATGAGAATGAGTCTTGTATTTATCCACATAACTTGGTGATTAAAGAGCTTACAAGAGCTTATCCGGTCAAGATAATTTATCAATATGCTGACAATAAAAATTACTTCCGCCTGTTTGTTGAATACTTTACTCTCGAACAGTTCTTTCGTGTCTTCTTTCTCGGGAACGGGACCTAGATCGATGCGAATGACGTCCTTTGGGTGATCTTGACCTAGAACGACTGCGACGACGATAACGCTCTCTTGACCTGAGATATAAAGAAAAGATGCAGGAAGTTAGTTATAAATTGACAGTAATTCATCAATATTTTATGAATCATAAAATGGTCATGAAAGCAACCAGAGAGTGAGAGTTTTTTCTATATTCATGAAATTTTAAATCCATCACATGAATTGTTAAGGGATTTGCCTAATTTCAATTGCAAAGACCTACTTTGCCCAGAATAAAGTTTGTTTAAAAAACAAAACACATAATTAATGATTTGTTGAAGGGTTGAATAATTTTTTGCTCTGGTCATGAGCCATGACTCATAAAATGAATGATTTTTAAAGGTTTACACAGCAATAACTCACCTTGATCTGCTCCTACTGGGCTTTACTTGTTCTCTATCTCTTTCCCTATCTCTTTCTCTCTCTCTATCCCGTTCTCTCTCTCCTCTCTCTCTATCTCTTTCTTTTTCGATATCATTACTTCTACTCCTATGGTTATTGACACGATCACCAGATCGTTCGTGGTTACGATTAGAGCTACGATCACTGTATCTATTACCCCTGTCGCCTCGGTGTGAATGACGATTCCTTCTTTCATTTGACATATCATCATTCCTTTCGGGTAACAATCCTTTATTTCGTTTCTCGGTGACGATTGCTTTAAGTTCTTCTAATCTTTCTCTAATGGTGATGAAGCCAAGATGCAATTTACCTCCAAAATGGTCAGCCAAACGTCTGTCATTATCATGAATACCAAGATAAGCTGAACAAACTTCGCAGACCCGAAGTTTTTGCTGCTGGTAACTTGAGGCAGGCATTGAATTACGATAATCCACCTCAGCTGATTGTTTTTCTTTCTTCAATTTTTCAACTTCCTCCATATATTCAAGCGACTTTTCAACATTACCCTCTTCTCCTAAGGCTTCCGCAGCTGCTAACTTTTTACCAATAGCTTCAGCTAGCTCATGTACTTTGTTTAATTTAGATGTGACCTCAGCACTTAATTCTTCCTGAGTTTCTGCTAATCTTTTTTTGGCTAATTCCGTTTTCCTATCAGCATCAGCAACAAAGGTTCGAAGATGTTCCAAGGCGTCAACCTCATACCCATAATCTTTATTTATAGAGGCTTTCTCGTAATCCGCTCTCAAAGCAAGATCATGAACTTTAGGGCATTCTCCAAGATCCATTCGGGTGGAGGCCAGAATGTCGTGAGGGCAGCATGTGAGTAGAAAACTTTTGCACACTCGAGGATCACTGAAATGAAATCGATTCTTTTTTCCTTCAGCACCTTCACGAGCAGTACCCATCAATTGGTCCAGCATAGCTCGCATTTGTTCGGTAGCTGACATCCTGGTGAGCAAAAGAAGCTAAGTGATATCAAACACAAAATTCACTCAAACACAATTTAAATTGATTAATTGTTAAAAAAATTGACCTAAAATCAGTAGACAGAAATTTAATTAATAAACTGTAAAGAACCACTGTAAACTGACTGCTGATTGCTTTAGCAGGGACCGTCATCTAATAAAAGTCTGGAAACCTTTATGTTGTATTTTACTTTTAACAAAGATCAACGATTAACTTCGTATTTTATTTTTTGACTTGATTAAAAAATATAATCAATTTAAAGGCTCAAATATATTATAAGTAATGTAATATAATAAGTGGAGCCGAATTTTTCATCCATCAAATCATCTTCTGCCACATTTTCTTGCAATTTTCAATAAGGTTTGACTAATCCATGTGTTGATTTGGGTCTGAGATTATTCAGAATTAATTTTGTGATATTTAATTATAAAATTCTGAAATTTCAGGAAGCCACCAAATTTGAGATCAAATTTCCGGTAGTTCAAGATAAGCCAAACAGTGGTTCCAATAAATTATGGAACTAGTTCGACCCCTAAGTAGCCTATTTTGCTCTTTGTGATTCTGCTTTTGCTAATACAATAAAGATTTGTGTTTACTTGAAAATTGGACCAAAGAATTGGTTCGAGTAATTTCTTTTTCTGGTTGACACTTTGATTTTTCTGGTTCAACTGAACAGGATTGACTGTAAAATTAAATTTACTTAAATAGTCATTGTGTATCGCTTTATTTTCACTTTTGCATCAACGAGAATGTTCAACTTATTGAATAAGTCTGATTATTGAAACAAAATATTGTCTGCATTATGATTGAATACAAAATAAGCATAAGCAGTACCAAAACAAAAAAATACATATAATAATTATTGGCCAAATTTGAAAAAGTTTAGTTTCAACCCTTATTTGAGTGAGCTTTTTTTCCGTTGAAAGTTCAGACGAGTTACTGTTGGGAAAGAGAAATGAAAACAGAAATGAAAATAGTTAGTAATGAAGCTTTTCAAGGTAAAAAATACTAAAAGCAAAAGCCAATTTGTTCAAAAATTTGTTTTTCTGTTGTAAATTGTTACTCAGAAACTATTCTAAAATAATCAGCACTTATCGAGATGGACCTTTTTTATTTTCATCGCATGAGTCTGATGTATCGATACCCGAATCAGATTCAGTTAAGTTATCACTTTTCACAGGAGATGCCTGTTTTTTGGCGCGAACCATGCTTGATACCATTTCAGCAATCAGGTCAATATGATTAACAACTCCATCGTAGCCTGTGTAAAGATTCAAGAGAAAACAAAATCAATATAAATAAAGGAATACAATTAATTCTGACAGGTTGAACCAAAAAAAGTGCGAACCAGAAAGAGCAATCATTTGAATCACTTCTTCCTTTCCATTTTTAAGTTAATGTTAAGTTTCCAATGTAAGACCAAAGGAATCGTTCAAGCAATTGTTCTTTCTGGTTCACCCTTTTTTGGTTTAAATTAACAGATTTGACAGTGAAATAGAATAAGAAACAAACCTGGAAATATATTCATGTCTATGATCAAATACCGATCCGTTTGATTCTCAATTATGAGGTCAATGCCAAACAAATTTAAACCGAGAATATTTCGAAGAATATTTACAAGTTTAGAAACAACTTCATCTTTAACAATCGGCGTTGGTCCTCCACCATCATCTTTATCCAATTCAGTTAGTTCAGAGACAGAGTTAGCTTTAGATACCTCAGGACTGTCAAAATGAAGAGTAGGAAAATCTGTGGAATCAACAAAAAAAATCAGTAAATAACTCTGCTTGCTATTTTTAGTAATATCTTAGAAAATATTTTTTTTTTGAAATTATTGAGGTTTCAAGATTCTCCATCAACTTATCTGACGCTTAATTGATAATTGCTGATTGCTAAAAGATATTCTTTACGATATCGAGAATCTAGTGAAACCTGCGCTTGTTTAATTATGAAGAGATTATTTATAGTAAACAAACTAGATTTAGAGCTAATTTATCAGACAATCTATTTCTATGGTTAAGTAGTTGAGTTAACCTGCAATCTGAGCTCACATATATGGAAGATGGTTGAATCAGAGCTGAATATTAAGATAAATCAACAAGTATGATTGTAAAACAAATAGGACAACATAATGATAAATCATTCTCGTAGTTGTGTTAGTGAGATTACAATATGCGTACAAGGTCAGGAACATAATTTATATTGATGACAATCTGATTGAATGATGTTTCGGAGAAAAAAGAAACACGAGGAAAATAATTATAACTCTTTACTCATAGCTCCCAAGTCGAGATTTGATTTACGTCTTGGAAAAAAAAGTCTAATCTAATTACTAACGTCACATTACTAACCTCCGGCTTTGAAATTTTTCAAAGATGGTCGGTCAACAACAAAATATTTCTCATGAATTACAAAAATCTTGAACAACTTTGCATTATGGTTGATGAAGGTTTGGGCAACACAAGGTGGATTAATATCTTTCAATCCTTTTTCGTTGAAGATTATAGACATCTGATGAGCAAAAGAACCTCCATGAGCTTCCAAAGGTTTACAAACAAATGGAAATTTAACATCATTGGCAATCAATTTTTGTCGATTGATTTCACAATCTTTACTGGTCAATTCCACGAAAGTAGGAGTTGAAAACCCTTCCTTAAAGGCTAATGGGCAATCCTTAATAATTTTATATTGTTCATACCGGCTAAGAAGTATCCGAAGATTGGGTAAAGGGTCAATTATGACAACTTCTGGGTTTGTGTTAACATAATTTTGGAAAGCATTGATAATGCCAGAAGCTTTTTCATCACCAGAATCTGCCTTTATAAGGATATCCGATAATTTATGAATGATGGCGACGAAAGGTCCTTGTTTGGCTATATCGGTGTCCAGGTCAAGCCTAACCAGATTGAATCCGATGGCAGATAATTTAAGTTCCAATTCACTTTGGTTAAATCGTTGGGTTTTCTTTTCACTCCACCAATAGCCAACTTTAGCCATTGATACTGATGTGTTTTTAAAATGATAATTGGCTTGGAATGTAGTAAATCAAAGTAATTATTTGTGATCAAACTGTTTTTCCGTCCAGTTGACAAATTAATTGTTGATATCAATCCACATTATTAGTTTAAACAATCACATTTAATCCATATGGACACATTTTTTCACAATTCATTCACTTTTCACAAATTCATTCAACAAAAATTACAACAAACATGTAATTTTTACGCTTGGGAAAAAATTTCCAGAAGCAAAACACAGACAGAGAGAGACTTGACTGTACAGACATCTATCCGTAGACGCTAAAACAACAAATTATTTTTTCCTTACATTTTCAATGTTTGATTTCTTTATGACTTAAATCATTAAGATTAGGTAATTTAATTATTACAACTATCATCTTTCATCGACATTATTTACATTTTACAATCTTATTTATTTTCACAGTCTATTCTTTATTTTTGATCTAATATTCATCATTGATGAATCACCAATGTTAAAGGATGGAAAGAACCGGCTTTTCCACCCCACTCACCATTTCAAAGGAACTTTTACCAATAATTTCCATCAGTAAGGTGAAAAAGTGATTAAAAATGTGGTGGAAAAAGCCGATCTCGTAAAAAGATTGATTACTTTAATTTCTTGCATTTAAAGTGGGTTTTTATGTTCTTAAAATTGGAGAAAGATTAAAGACATTGGACATTGAGTCCAGAAAATGGAATCCAGGTTATTATGTGAGTGTTCATTGTGTCACTGGGTTTCACCGAGATTATCCTGTATTGCTCTCTGACAGTAAACATAAGTATTAATGTTGAAAAATATGATAAGAAACCCAAACATTATGTAACTTTTGGAATGACTCAACTTGTTTCTATTCAATTTTCTGCAACTTACACCCTCATCGGACTTACATCAACAACTGTTGGATAAGGTTTCCAAACTTAAGTGAGTACAATATTAATAAACTTGATCTCAATCCACATTTACTCGGAAAACACTGTTACGATTAACTTTAAATCATTAGCCACACTTGAGTTTCACTACTTACTTTTGTTAGGGATCACTCTCAATGAAAACCAAAAATATTGATTTAAATTTACAATCAATAAATGGAACCTGATTCGTGTCCATCAATCGGTTCATTCTATTAAACTATCAATCTTTTCCCTTCAATCCACCAGATTTTAACCCAATTTACCTCATCATTCAAACAATCAATTCGGGAATTGATACAGTCAAAATCAACATTACCACACGTTATTACATTAAACAACAATTCATAAATTGCTATATTTCTTGCAAGTAAGTGTCATCAACCTAAATGATGAACATTTTCCCCATAATTCTGCTACAATATTTATCTTTCATTTTTTTCTTCTTAAGATTCAATTTTTCGATTGCTAACATGCTTTCATTTGGTCAATATCTGGATAAAGCGCGTCAACATAACAAAACCTGTTTTCAGCACAAAGTTAACTAAACACAATTTGAACCTTTTCAAGTTATTTAACTATTGACGTATTAACCTTTAAACCTTATAAGTCGGGGATGTAGCTCAGATGGTAGAGCGCTCGCTTAGCATGCGAGAGGTACCGAGATCGATACTCGGCATCTCCAAGAACTTTTGTTCACTTTTTGCTTCTATTCAGTCAATGGATCGTCAACAGAAGGCGATGCTACTCTTTTACTTCTGTTTGTCGTCACAATTTCCTTTGATAAATTGATTGATTCATAAATCGAGTAAAAAGAGGCTCATCGTATTGGATGTTCATTCATGTTTCCAAATCCATTGTGACAACAAAACATTCAACACGAACAAAATATTGACGTTGTTAACACCAATCTGGTTCCTCTTTTCACTGTTTTCTTTCCATAATGGCTTTCTCATTATTATTCAGCTTTTCTTCCCACCATGAAATAAGGATTGAAAAGATTCAACCACAATTTCCTTACGTCATCAGTTGACTTTCATTATTTTATCCTGATTGAAATTTTCATGGAATATTGCTCTTCACAGGATTTCATCTCTCGATTTTTTATCGTTTTTTTCATTCATAATAATCGTGGTTACATCATCAATGCCAAGTCTGAGTAGATTACAAATTTTGAGAGAAAATTCCTTTTATTATGTAAAAAAGTATTGATTTCAACTACAGGATTCAACTGTGAACATCTCCATTATTATTAGATCATGTACATGTAAGATTAATTGGCTAGAAGATGGAGTGGAAAAGATCAATGCTTGATTGTGAACTGAAATAATTGCCTTAACACTGATTTGGACGATTGTAATTACATTTTTCATCCTAATTACTATTGATATCAATCACTATTCCTATTGTCTAATATATATTGACATCTTAAGATGAGGAACTTACAAACATATTGTCAATACAAAGTGTAAACAAGTTAATATTTTCTGAATCAAATAAAACTAAGAAAATCAATAAGTTTGATTGAAATAATGATTAACTTTGGGCTAACCTTGACATAACAATTATCATTAAAGGTGAATTGTCTCAGCAAAATATCAAATTGTTTACATGAAATTTGAAATATGTTAAGCTAATGAAGATTTTGTTATAATCAATGGAAAAAAGATGAACATGTAAATTGAAAAATTAGTGTAAAGAGCAACATTTCATTCAGTTTTCATCATCTTCATCCATTTCTTGATCATGATCGTTGGAGATATTCATCAGAGGTAAACAACTTGAACAAAATTCTGAGCAGAATCATAAGCCAATCCTGACCTGGTTCCTGGTTGTCATCTTTACAAAACTAGTAACCTAAATAACAAGAGAAAATACAAAAACATAATTCAAGTTCATCTGCGATTTAACATTATTACTTACTTTATTTATTTATTTTGTTTGTAATTTGAATCACAATTTCCTTTCTTGCCTTACTTATTTTTGATTTATATTTTTTTAACAAATTAACAGCCATATACTTACAATTGTTAGTCGATTGAAAGTTAATTGTAAATTAGTAATTTTCATAAGACCTTTTTTGACAAATGCTCGATAATAATCAGCGAACCAAAGTGTATTTCATCCTTTGTCCCAGTGTTTGGTGTAGATGGTATTTTTGTCGAGTTAATGTATTAAAGTCACAAATCGTTTTACCAACAGCCACAAATCTATAACAAGTGATGTTTCCAACGCAATTCATTTAACTTACAACCTTTTTCCTTTCGCCAAAATTGTTTTCACCTAATCATCATTCAATGTAATCCAATTGGATTGTTCAACATTAAACTATTACGACAATCATCGAGAGTGTACAATCCAACTAAACATCGTAAGTAAGTCTTAATTTCTTTGTTGTAAAAACCATGTTAAGTCCACGTAAAAAGCTGGAAATTTCAAGCTTTATCCTTGAATATCACTGTTATTGGAAACCATTTTAGCCAAAAATTATCTTCTTATCTCCTTAATCCATCTTGGCTCAATAGATTGGTTCAACAGTCAATTGTGACTATCATCGGCCATGGAGAAATCATCTAATTTAATGTTGTCCCGACCCGAAGATCCTGAAGTTGCTTCCTTGGGCCAGATAACAGTCGATGTTGGCTATGAGATATTACCCAAGAGGATAAGAGCCATTCCAGGTATTGGATTAATTTTGGCATTATTATCAGGTGTTTTCTTTGCCACTGGATCCTTAACAGTCAAGCTTATCCAATCAGTTTCTGGTATTGAAATTGCTGTTATCAGGTGAGTGAAATACGTCGAAGGTTGCCATTACTTCAAATGCCAACAATCAATGTCTAAAATTGAAATATTTGCGAAACAAAAATAGTACAATATAATGATTAAGAGGGTTCCAATCAAGCTAAACATATTATTGTCATATTTTGTCCAAAATAATGTGTCAAGGTTACAGTTTTATCTATTCACAGGTGAAGAGATGAATACTCTATTGGTTTGAATCAATATTAAACATAAACATATTACTTACAAGTTTAATTGAACATTGTCCAGATTCATCTTTACCAGATATTGATTGAATTTAGCCAAAAATCTTTGAATAAATTAACTTATGAAGAATCTTAGTTATAGCCATAGCTTTTGATCAAATTGTCATACATATTGTATCAACTGACTAATTGATATTGATTTCCATAATTTCTTTAGTTTTTGTTGTACAAACAGTGACGATTTTTGTGTAAGCTTTTCATATACAGCATTGCTATATCAAATTATTGACATTAATAATTTCATTGAAATATGAATGATGATTGAACTTTTTTGACCTTCGCTAGTTTCAACTGAACATGAATCAGTGTGAGAATGTATTTTCTTTGAACTCGGCATTGCTCCAGACCTGATATCATTGTTAAAAACCAAAAAAAAAGATTAGTAAAATTATTCACCAGGAGATTTGGCAAGATCATCTTTTTTCAACTCATTAATTTGATAATCTATTAATAATATATAGTATTTAATCAAAAAATGCTTCGTAAAAATTTTAAGTTGAAATACTGAACTAAATCAAACCAAAAATAGAAACATTGAAATTGACTGAAAGGTTCTGAGCTACATTTCAACAGTAGATTTTAACTTGACAACAATTCTGTAATATCGAAATTGGAAATCTGATTATTTATAGCTTGGAACACAGAATGGTCTGACTTTTGTTTCGATAAGTTGATCATAAATTTTCAGGAAATTTATAGAAAAAAAATTAAATATATTTACCTTTTTTACCTTTTCAATTTCGTTAAAGATCACTCATCACATTGATAGCCTTTTCCATTGTGGTAATCTTATGCAAACATGATCTGAAATCGATCCCATCCGAAAGAGTTCCTCTGGCCTTACGATGTCTCACCGGTTGTATTGGTCTAATACTAACCTATGTGTCAATTAAATTGATACCATTAGGTGATTCACAGTCAATAATTTTTTCGTCACCGGTGTTTGTCAATTTTTTTGCTTACCTGTTTCTCGGTGAACCATGTGGCTTGGTCCAGTACGTTTCCATCATATTTGCCATGATCGGAGTCCTCCTCATCTCCAAGCCTAGCTTCCTGTTTCCCGACTTTGATACCGATCAAAATGATGCTTATGCTTCAACTCGTACAACGGGCACTTTAACAGCTCTTGGAGCTTGCTGTGGAGCTGCCTCGGTCTTCATTTGTATTCGGAAACTACAGGTAACCCCGTCTTCTGTGGTCATTTTTTGGCATTCAGCGGTCACAGTAATACTTGGAACAATCTTGCTCATTATTCGTGATCTTTTGGTTTGGCCTCAAGGAATCCAAGACTATGTTCTCCTTTTGGTTTGCGGTGTAACCGGAATAGCTGGTCAAGCATTGATGACGTTATCTCTTAAACTAGAAAAAGCTGGTCCAGTTTCATTGGCTCGTACCATGGACATTGTAATGGCTTTTGTGTATCAGATCACTATTTTGAAAGAAGCAGTTGCTTGGACAAGCTTATTTGGAGCATTTATCCTGGTTTTTGGAGTAATCATCGTCGCTCTTAACAAATGGTACACAAGTGATCCAAAAAGCTTTAAAAGTGTTTTTCTTTGTGGATGTGCTGGTGATCATAAAAAAACACCAGACAATCTAGTTAACTTAGCTTCAATTCCGACCATCACTATATCAGCTAATAATTGATTACTCTACATTGAAAAACAATTACACAAAATGAATCTCACTAAAACTGTATAAAAATGGCAGACGATACTTTTTCAAATTTAATTTTCCCTCCTCTCCAATAGTACAATGGCAACAACATAAACAAAGCCTACATTTAGTTCATCATTAACTGATTTAAATCATTCAATATGAACAATTGATTGTAAAATTTACTAGTCTTTATCGATTTATCTAAATATTTCTAACGACTTCCAGAGCTTCAAATTTAAAACTTGTTATAAATCATTCAATCAATTATTTTGTCTGAAAACTAACGAGTTGCTACAAAATATCTGGATCTTCGTTCTTGGATTGCATCTTGTTCTAGTCACTTATTGTTGTGTAAATCTTTATATTTAACTATTTTCATTCACTTTACACCAAATTTACCTGGAAAAAAAAGTTGATTTGTTAAAGCTCAAGGCTTCTTACAAAAGTTTAAATTGCTATTCATCAAGATTATTACTGGTGTATAACTATTGTGATGAGCTCATTTGATCTCTATGAAGTGATTACAAACAAAAGGAAATTTTTATCTGGAAATCAACTGAATCTTGTTCCTTCGGATGATTGGACGGTTTAAAGCTGTCCCTATTTTGATATCTTCCCAGCCCCTGTTAAGATGTCCCAAGTCATCCAGTCCATATTAAGACTTTCATTTCATTGTTAATCGACTCTTTTTTACCATTCAACCAACCTGTTATGTTATAATTGTAAGTTATTACACAAATCTACATCTTGTATTTAGATTAGCTTTCCAAACTTAAGTGAATATTCAATTTATAAATATTAATAAACTTGATCTCAATCCACATTTACTCGGAAAACACTGTTACGATTAACTTTAAATCGTTAGCCATACTTGATTTTCACTACTTACTTGCATTTAGTAATCACTCTCAATGAAAACCAAAAATATTGATTTACTTGATTCGCGACCATCAACCGGTTCAATCTCTGTAAAATTGCGGTTTATATTTTTCGCCAGCTTAACTAATTTTCAGACTCACCTCATGAGGACAGAAACGAAAAATTTTAATACAATATTATCATGATAAAAATAAGAATCAAATGACAAATAATGAAAAAGTCAATGTCTTAAGATGATTCATAGCTATCATACGTGAAAAAATATCCATCGACACTGAATAAATGACCGAAACAATGGTGACTGGCTATTTTTACCGTAACTCTATTATTGTCTTCCTGGAAGTTTCACTTTAAAAGTTGAATGAAAGAGTGACTGGCTAACCGACTTTCAATCACTAGCTCAGGTATTTATACAGGTTTGTCATTATCTTTTTTAGGATGTTAATTGCGTCAGCAGTCACGTGGTATCAAATTTCTCTCTTGATGTAGTTTGTTTATTTGTTAAAATGAGGAAATATAGTTGCATGAAATTTCCACAAAAATTGACAGCAACCTTTTTACAACTTACTGTCTATCATTACCATATCTTAACGGTTTACTTTATTCAAAGAGTATCACCAAACTAATTTAATTACCAGTATAAATGTTTAATCCAATTTTATATCTCATAATTAATTAATATGTCAGGATAAAGTGAATAATTTAACAATGAAAACATAATTTCTTTATTCTTCAACTGTTACACCTTTTCCATCGTATTCAACTTTCAACCTTTTTTTCAATGCATTCATTTGTTTGTAACCATTCCAATTATTTAAACTCATCAAGCCAACGATGTTCCACATGTGGTGTTAGTGGTGTTGTTAAAGAGACCATCAATAATGATAAATCAACTGCGGAAAATTGTAATCAACCCAGAATTAGTTTAACTTCATCTCCATCAACTGTTGTTGCTTACGAAGCAGCAACTGAACTGTTACCAACCTTATCATCAACGACAACTACTTCAAGAACTTCCATTGATACAGTTGTTAATACAATGGCCAATAAGTTGACCACTAAATCAACTGTAATCAAATACATTTATGATTTGCCTTATCATGTGCGTAAATCTCTATGTGATTTATTAGATGCTGATGGTAAATGGCATCGTTTGGGTGGACAGTACATGGGGATAAATGATACACAGTTAACTTTGATTTCTCATGCCATCTTAAGGAATGGATCTCCGACAAATGATCTTTTAGTGCGTTGGGAACAAACCAATGGACAGGTTCGCCACTTATTCAAATATCTACACGATATGGGCCATAAAAGAGCGATGTTAGTTTTGGCTCCACACGTTGATCCTAAACTGAAGCAAATTTGTTTGGGATCTCAAGATGGTGATGAAGATGATGAGTTTGATATCGATTTAAATCGAAACAGTCCTGTTTTCGATAGAAGTGTTGATAACAATGGAAATCGTATTATTAGGAAACAATCATCAGCCTCTCAAAGGAGTAATGGAGAGAGTCAACTTCGAGGAATCCAACGGATCAACATCAACGATTCAAATGCTGATAACACAAATGAAGAGGTAAACACTCGACAATATTATCCAGCCGGTAAAAGTAGAGACTCAGAATTGGATGAAGTTGATAAAGGTCATCAGGGTTCATCGGGAGTCAGTGGAAAGGGTAAAAAACGAATTATCAATCATCAACCAACAGCACCAGCTGCAAGCTATTCCGTTGAACAAAAGATTCTCAATAAAGATAGATGGAATGATTTGAGTGCAGAGACTTTGTCCGTTGCAGCTGGTCCAGCTAATCCGTCACCATCAAAACATATAAATCTGCCAGGATCTAAATTTAAAGATAAAAGCATCTCAGTGACTCCATCAGAGTGTTCAATAAGTTCAGGCCAAAATTTTCTGGAAGGATTAGAAATACCATACAAAGAACTTCTCATTTCTACCGATGATTTTAGTAAAGATCGCATCATTGGTCGGGGAGGTTTCGGTGTAGTTTATAAGGGAGTTTGGAAGGGAACTGAAGTGGCAATTAAAAGACTCAAAAGTTGTGACAGCATGTAAGTTGAACAATTTCATCAAAGATCATACAAACTTTCATGAAAAATTACCTCTTTTTAGGCACCAAGCAAAAATTGAGTTACGAGCATTAAATCAATACAGAATTGATAACATATTACCACTTTATGGGATTAGTTTGGATGGCCCTGAAGCTTGTCTATTGTACCAGTACATGCCAAATGGTTCACTCGAAGACAGGTAAGAGATTAGGATAGAATAAATAATTTTGATTGAAAGAAAACTTAATTCATTTATAATTAAAAATTTATCCAAATTCAACAGATTGTTGTGCAAAGGTAACACTTGTCCACTGACATGGGACCAACGAGCATCAATTGGCGAAGGACTTGCCAAAGCTTTGAATTTTTTGCATACACTTCGAGGTAAACCTTTGGTTCATGGTGATGTTAAAAGTGCCAATGTTTTACTTGATTCACAGTTTCAATGTAAATTGGGTGATTTTGGTTTAGCAAGACAAATTTTGTCTTCAACAAGTAAAGGTAATTACACTCATTTAACAGTGACCTCAGTCCATGGTACATGTGTTTACCTTCCACCGGAATATCTGCGAAACAAAATGTTGAGTCCAGCTGTGGATGTATTCAGTTATGGTATTGTTATGCTTGAATGGCCACTGGAAGACGTGCCTATGATGGTAAAAGGTTACTCCTAGAATTGGTACAAGAAGAACTGGCTGCCGGACAATTGGACGAACCTCGAAAAGACTGTGTTCACTTAAAAGATCCTAGAATGGGATTAAGTGTTGGTGATGATCACTGGTTCGGTCATTTAATTCGTCTGGGTCTTGACTGTGCTAATAAAATGATGAAAAAGCGACCAGGGATGAGCCAAGTATTAGAATATTACAATCAAAGTAAAACCCGGGAAAGAATCAGGCGATTAAGTGCCGGATCAGCTAACGGTGGCTCATCTATAATCTCTGAGCTGAAAACACCGCTTGAGTTGAAGATATATTATGAGATGACCAGAGAAACCAATCAGCAATCAGAAGATCAAGGCCAACCAACACGTTCAACAATTAATCCAACGATTGAAAACTCTACAGATCGATTAACACCTTCTTCAACTCGCCAAACTGTTTCATCACTTGGTTATAATGGTGAGTTTTAATTTACTTGAAAAATCGTAATGTTAATTGTTGGCTTTGAAGAATTTCCAAATATTCGATTATAGTCTTTCCAATTATCAGGATTTAATAGAATGAATTCTTTATACATTTTCTGTCAGATTTGGCTCAGGAAGATGCTAACTCAGTTATATCTCAACTTGAAGACACTGGTAATGAAATTATCCCATTACTTACAGAATTAGGACTTGGTGATGATAATCAGACTAAGGATGAACCATTTGATAATTATTCAGAAAGCTGAGACTTTCTAAATTTATTTTAAATGAAAATTGGATGGTAAAATGTATACAGGAGTCTGCTTCAATCAGAACATGTAACTTTTTGAGTCAAAAGATGGAAATGGACAATCGATTTTAAATTATATAACAGTTGGAATAAGGATTTTATTTACCAAATATATTTATCTATCCACAATATTCATTCTTATTTTTGAAAGAGGTGAGAATAAATCTGAAGTGGATGTTGTCTTGGATGGATTGGTATTGCTAGAATTGATTTGTACATTTTCACGGGATACCCCGCTGGTTAAAGAATCGTTGGTAGTGGTAGACACAGCAACATTGCGATTTACAGTTTCAGGTCCATTTGAAAGTGTTATATTTGATGATACTGAATTGGATGATTTTCCTGTAATCAAACCTGCTCCATTCGATTGAGATGTAGAAGGATCAGAAATATTATCAGAGACATTTTCCCTTGATGGAACATTAGATGGTTGTTGACCGCTTGCGCTTCCACTAGATGATGTGTTATAATTATAATGAATGATGGAGTATGACCCATGGGATTGTTGTCTGGTGTAATTTGATGTAGACATGGAATGAGCCTGAAGGGCTAAATTTTCTTGTTCATCAATGAATCGATCCATATAGTCACTTGATTAAAAAATCAGAGAATGGCAATTATTACTTAAAAAGATTTTTTAAGACCCTTTTTCATTCGATAAACTTACGTTGTACCAGGATGAAGTGAGTATTTTTTCTTTTCAACCCGCCATTTACTTGCGTACATGTCATGCCTTTCAGTTTTCTTCCATAGATAATAAAATTGTACCAGTTCTCCGACCGATCTTGTTGGTACCTAAAATGATTAGATTAAAACAAATCAAAAATTAGGTAATTACTTCACGATTAGAAAACTGTAAGCAGGTTGTTTTGAGGTGGAAAAAAGTTATTTATTCATTTCAAAATATCAATATTAAGCTCGAATTCTTATTTAAAAGTTCCTGTGGATTCATTCCAAAGGATTTTAAAATACAAAAAGATTTAGATTATATCAGAATATTCACTCACCTTATTTTTCTGAATTTGGTGAAAATCTTTCCCATATAATCTTATTCCATCTTCAAAATTTATACACTCTTCTTCTGACCATGAGCTCATAGTCTCAAATGGGCTATTCTGCTGTATTTTCTTTCTTCGTAAAGCTTCCTCAACATTGTGACCACATTGATGAAGTAGATAAAGCGCGATTTCATCGTCTCTTATATTACTAGTATGTAGTAAGTTTGTCGTTTCTTTTAATGGCTGAACCGTTGTAGATGTTGTAGACTCAGGATTGTCACCACTACCATTAGTACCTCCTGGTGTACCTAAAGTATCGGTGTTTTCAATCACATCTATCTGAGAAATTTGTCTCAAAAAATTAACCACAACTTCTTCAGGTAGAACTGATGCATCCCACAGAAGTTTATCCTCATTCTCGTATGGTGGTACATTACCATATCCATTTAAACCGTCAGGTATAACTGCTTGATAATCTGAACCAACTTGAATGGTTCTCCTCCAGTCATCCCCTCCTTCATCCTCTTCATCGTCCTCATCATTTTCTTCTTCTTCATCGTCCTCCTCATCATCGTCATCTTCCATATCAGATTCGTCACGATCAATTAATAAATTAGTATTTGGTAGGGGAGCCGCGGAAGCTGGAAGAGTCCATTGCGAGGATAATTCTTCTAGATGCCTCGAAGAACGGGTATTTGTAGTCAAAGTAGGCACAGCCGTAGTTGAAGGTGTATTCACTTGAGTTTCTTGACTAGCATTTGCTGCTGTTTCTTCAGAGTAGCTACAATTATTTTTATTACCTCCATCATTAGTACCTTCCCCATGATTTGATGATTCTGGTTGTTCAGGTTTATCCGCTTTATTACCAGATTGCTCATACCCATAGAGAGCGAGAAGTTGTTCGATTGGCATTTCTCCTTCCTATAAAGCAGAGAAATAAATAAATAAATGAATAAATCTATAATCTAAAAACTTTTGATCTTGATCGAACTCACTTTCTTTAGATCCATAATTTCATTCGTTATATTACTGCAATCATCATTTGCTTCCTCTTCTTCAAGTGTATGTTCATCATCGAAATCATTTATTAACATCTCCGCTGACGGATCAAAGTCTTGATCACTGTCATGGGCTATAAGAAAAATAGTCAAAAACAAAGATAAGATTAGATTAGCTCAAGATTTATTGACTTAAATTTACTCACCGGATGGAGTATTAACACTGGCTGTGGGCGAAGGCTTATTCATTCCATCAACATTAGCGTTCATCGGTTCAGATAAGAGCTATAGTGGAATCAACTATGAGTCAGAAAAAAAGTAAATAAACGAAAAAAAGTGCAATTAGTCAAGGGAAAGAAAGAGAAAAAGAGAGTAAATAAAATTTGACAATTGGTCACATTTGATTTGTTTTCATTTGAGATTTACCCAAGAATCGATTCTATATTATTCAAAGGATGCGCAACAAAATGTGCGCACTTTTGAACAAAAGGAAAAAAAGAAGCCAAGATAGGAAAGTGACCAAAGAGACAGAGAAATAGACAGAGGAAAAAAAGGGAAAAGAAAGTGAGATGAAAATAACATACCTAATATTATAAATAAAGAGGGAAATATCAATTGAATTTATGATAAATAATCAAAAGATGAAATAGTAGACTGATGGTTAAGATGAAAAATAATAAATTAACAATTAATGGATGAACACAAGAAGTCAAATCCCATGTTATTGGTGAAAGCAAAAAAATTAGTGAGAAACTGGGCCTAAATTTTCAAGGCTTTATTATTATAGTTTAAGCACAGCTTTTGACATATAGAGCTATTGCCATCTAGTATTGGAACATAGCATTTCCCTTCAAAAACTTCATTTGTTGAAATGGGAATTGAATTTCGATGGTTGTGTTCATATCTTTACTTGGATTAAATTACAATTGTGAAGGCTTTTGAATCGGTGGTAACACTCAATATCAATAATCAATCATAAACAATAAAAACAATGATTGACTTCTCGACAGCTGATCAGGCAGACAAAATCATAATGGACTTTGAAAGGTAGATCCAAGTTTTCCAATGAAATAATTACAGTTTATCAATTTACGAAAATTTTATATTTTATTTGATTCTTACATTATATTTTTGTCAATTAAATTAAAAGCTTAACACTCATTTAATAGATTTTATATGAAACTCAATGAAAATGAATTTCAAATTGTGCGGTAATACTTTAACGAGAGGGAGCGCGAGTATCACCCTGGTTACGTCTCGGAAACGGAAGATAACTTCAGTTTTGTTAACAGTGAATTGAATTGAAAACATTAATGTGGTTTGGAAAACCTTAACGATAAGGAAATATTTCAATTTATTGTTATTATTGAATCGTCTAGTGCTCCAATCCTAAAGTAATCAATTAATTTATAAAATGGCTGATCCTGCAAATGATGTCCATTCCGCTCTCCAACAAGTGTTGAAAACTTCATTGATTAATAATGGTCTTGCTAGAGGTTTACATGAAGCTGCTAAAGCATTAGATAAGTAAGTTGATCTTTATTACATATACTCCGATACACTAGTATTATTTACCATCACATGGTTATTAACGTTCACGTTGTCTGTTTTTTTTCATGAATCTAGGAGACAAGCTCATTTATGTGTTTTAGCTACAGATTGTGATGAACCAAGTTACATCAAATTGGTCGAAGCCTTGTGTAAGGAGCACCAAATTTCGTTGATCAAATTGGACGATAACAAGAAATTAGGAGAATGGGCCGGTTTATGTAAAATCGACAAGGATGGTAAAGCAAGGAAAGTCGTCGGCTGTAAATGTGTTGTGATTAAAGATTACGGAAAGGAAACGCCGGCACAAGATATTATTAATGAATATTTAAAAACAAGACAAGCTCTTTAAATTTATTAGATTAAAGATTCTTCATTTAATGAACACGTGTTTCCCAAACACCTATGTATTCAGAATCGAGGTTAAAATAAAGCCGTTCAATACTATTACTGATGAAGAAGATTTATTGTTATTTCGGAAGCCGAAAGTATTTATATGTCAAGTGATACTAAAAAAAGCTAATTAGCGATGAGACGTTAAATAAACATAGTTTATTCATCGCGCCCGCGTAGCGCAGTGGATAGCGTGTTGGACTTCTAATCCAAAGGTCCGGGGTTCGAATCCCCGCGCGGGTGAAATTTTTGTCAATTCCAATGGATTAGACTTTCGATTAACTTTTTTTAATACTTGACTTTATGTACAGTATTTACAAATAGTGTTTACTTGATTCCAATCACATCTCTTCCTTATTGTAAGGTATGTATTTACCGGCTACCGATTGTGTTGCTGGTTTGCCTGTGAGTTTATTATCCACTTGATGAATCAATGAATGATAATATTCATTATTCAGAGACCTGCCAGTAATTTGGACTCGCTTGAAATAGATTATTTACACTGTTCGTCGATCAGCATAATTCATAATTTTCAATTTTCCTTAATCGAGCAAATTCAAGCTAAAATGTTTCTTTGAGCTGATTTTGCGAGCTTTTTAATTGATATTTCACAAAATGAAATTAAGTTAATTAATGACTGAAAATCGAACTGAAGTTATGTAAAATCCAAATGTAATTTTATCTTTTTTAATAGAAACCATTGATAATTTAGTCTAAATTACTGGCAGGTCCCTGTATTCATCAGTAACTAACGTTCATTAAAGTCATCTTTTAGTTTAAATGTTTCTACGTAATGGCCAAGATGGTATAATTGTGTATAAAATTATGAAATTTACCCTCAAAACCTCATTCATTCATATTCTTTGTTTTGCTTTCTTATAGAAAAATTTAATAAACATTTCTTTTTCTCCTCTTCCATAGGTTAAAGCGTAGATTTAATGAATCCGGGAACCCAATTATTGCCTAAAACCACCCACTTCATTATCTCAACTAATTGCTTCTTTTCAATTCCAATAGAAAGATTAAAATCTATTAGGTAAGAAAAAGATTGAATACAGTTGGTATTAGACTTTAGTTTAACAGATTTTACTAGCATGGACTGGCCAGCCGCGACAGCTTTTAAGGCTTTAGTTAACAAAAGTCGAGATTTTTCCATAGTCGCCATCAACAAGAAATAAAAGTACCTTCAAGATCGAACTTAATTTTTTCCATTTTCCTATTGTTTAGTGTCTCTGAAAACTAAATATAATCGGCACTTAAAAATTAACTTAACTCTGGCCCTATTTTGTTAACTTAACCCTAACACCTAATGTATTTAATATTAATTGGTAATATCATTGTTTTATAAATAATTAGGGACCGGCTTTTTTCCACCACATCCACCACAACTTACCACCACTTTTTCAATCGCCTTTTTACCATATTGTCCACCACCCAAATCTAACACATTTACTATTCATCACCATCATATCTATCATGTCCAAAAAGAAATGAATAATTTGGTGGATTCGGGTGATGGAAAATCTTATATAAAATTCATTGAAAATGTAGTGGATAAAAGTGGTGGACAATTTTGTTGAGAAAAGTCTCTTTAAAAAGTGATGAAGTTTGATTTGGTTGATATGTTAGATTTGGGTGGTGGACAATATGGCGAAATAAGTGATTGAAAAAGTTATTCTTTGATTCCCTTTCACGCCATGGATTCAAAAGTCAATGCTGATTCAAGAATATTATCATCACTATTACCAAATAGGATTTGGTTTGAACAGGCTTGAAACCGATTCAATGGTGATCTAACTATTGATCATTGAAATGATAACTGAAGAGTGCAAGGAAAACACTAAAACCAAACAAATGCAATTCATTTTTTCACAAAAATGAAGTCAATTTTCCTTCAATGGTCCGTTAGATTTCAGGATAAATTAATTAGTGCAATCATGCTATTTACACCAAACAAATGTATCGTTATGAGTGAAAAATATATACTAATTAGTATTCAGAGAAAAGTCAACAAATCTAAACTAACAATTATAGCCTTGGCCTTCGAGTTAAATTAATCAGAACTAACATTTATTCAAACATCCATTTCAACTTGCAATGTAACTGAATCATCAATACTGAAACGATTTCTTATCACCAGACTGATACTTTTGTTTACAGGTTGGTTAATTATTATTATTGATAAAAATATATTATTGTGCTTATTGGGAAAAGGCTTACCAGTCATTGCTACTGATGAGGCTATGAGGAAGGCACCAATAAAAGTATTGGCTGACGGAGGTTCTTTTTCGTTTTTTTTGAAGAATCCAAGAGACAAGCTCATGGGCTGTAGCAAAAGCTTGTAATGAACCAAGTGATGAAGGAAACCCATGACGATAAAGCAAGAGAGTCGTCGGCTGTAAATGTGTTGTGATTGAAGATTATGGAAAGGAAACTCCGGCACAAGATATTAATGAATATTGAAAACAAGACAAGCTCTTTAAATTTATTAGAATAAAGATTCTTCATTTAATGAGCACGTGTTTCCCAAACATCTATGTATTCAGAATCGAGGTTAAAATAAAGCTGTTCAATACAATTATAAACGAAGCAAATTTATTGTTATTTCGGAATCCAAAAATATTTATTTGTTAAATGATACAAAAAGGATATTAATTAACACTGAGACGTTAAATGAACAACTCAGCAACCTATCAGATGGCCTTTTTTAGCCTTCTCATATCTCCAAGAGCTTCTGAACACAGATCCATCCTCTTTCTGCTTGCCGGCATTTTTCATTCCTTTCGATATTTTTATCGCTTTCCAACTTTTCGAGCATTTCGTTGAGCTTTGTTATAATTTTAGCTTTAGCCTTGATGCTTTTTGGTAGAGACATTCTGCTTATCGATGTGATCATATCTTGGTCACTTTTGATCAGCGTAACCAGTTCGGTTGCTATGTTCAACTCTGTGTCCATGTTGGAAAAACAATAGCAGAAACAGTGGGGATGAAGATTCAAAATTTCAAACACAATTTACTATTCGAAAGTTGAGTTTAAACTTTTATTACTACACACCACTAGATTCACTATTACTTCACAAATTCAAATATATATATTTCAACTTTATGAAAATATATAAAATCACTGAAAAATTAAGAAACTGAGGAGCTTAAAAACATGTGGCCGCCCTTGTTTATTTATATATTCAGAATGACTTTAAGTTGTGCGATCTATCAACTTCTTCGATTTTTATCGATAATTTCAAGTTGATTTCATATCGATGATTACAATGATATATCGTTTTGAAGGAAACGCTGAGAAACGTCTGTTTTTTGCATCACTTGCGCCTAAATACATTTATTTCACCAAGTTAAGTCTTAGTTTTTTGATTTTTTGGCTCTTTTTTGAAGCATTGACTGTAATAAATCGATTTAACGATATACATCCATACAATAAAGCCGTTCAATAAAATATCAGAAGAAGCAGATTTATTGTTATTTCGGAACCCAAAAATATTTATTTGTCAAATGATACAAAAAAAGCTAATTAACGATGAGACGTTAAATACTCAAAACAGTATTCAGCGTTGCCCTTGTTTATTATATATTTATGATTAATGTTTACAGGTAAACAAGATGCAGGAATTTCGCCCCAAGTAAAGGCATTTACAACACGTGTTGGTGCGTGCATCAATACGACATTTATAAAGTTTTTACAGTTTTCAATATTTTGTTTGAAGTTTACATTTCAAGTTTAGTTGGGTTAGTTTGGTTAAGTTGAAAGTTAATGAAGATTTTTGTATTGTACAAGTCAATATAACGTTTTATTTAGCTTCATAGATTGCCTGTTTCGAGGTCTTTTTTGGGATGAAGACACAAGGTGATGTCAG